GAACAACAAAAAAAACCCTAAAACCAGTAGAAGAAAAGAAATAATAAAAACCAAAGCAGAAATAAATGAAATCAAAACTAAAAAAAAAATCCAAAAGATCAATGAAACCAAAAGATGGTTCTTCGAAAAAATAAATAAAATAGACAAACCCCGAGCCAGGCTCACAAAGGAAAAACGGGAGAAAACACAAATAAACAGGATTACAAATGAAAGAGGAAAAATCACAATGGACACAGCAGAAATCAAAAGAATAATCAGTAACTACTATGAACAGTTATATGGAAACAAGTTCAACAATCTAGAGGAGATGGACAAATTCCTACAACTCTACAATCACCCAAAGCTAGATAAAGAAGAAATAGAACACCCAAACAGACCAATTACATGCAGTGAAATTGAAATGGTAATCAAAAACCTCCCCCAAAACAAAAGCCCAGGACCTGATGGATTTACAAATGAATTCTACCAAACATTCAGAGACGAATTAGTGCCTATCCTTCACACACTCTTCCAAAAAATTGAGAAGGAAGGAATAATACCAAACACTTTCTATGAAGCCAACATTACACTAATACCACAACCGAACAAGGACAACACAAAAAAAAGAAAACTACAGGCCAATCTCTCTAATGAACACTGATGCAAAAATCCTTAATAAAATTTTAGCTAACAGAATCCAACAATGTATCCTTAAGATAATTCACCACGACCAAGTAGGATTCATTCCAGGGACACAAGGATGGTTCAACATCCAAAAATCAATCAACGTCATCCAATATATCAACAAAAAGAAATATAAAAACCATATGATAATATCAATAGATGCTGAGAAAGCTTTCGACAAAGTACAACACCCATTCATGATAAAAGCCCTTGAAATTCTTGGGATACAAGGAACATACTTCAACATCATAAAGGCCATATATGACAAGGCAACAGCCAGTATCATTCTCAATGGCGAAAAGCTAAAAGCATTTTCATTAAGATGTGGAACAAGACAAGGATGTCCACTCTCACCACTACTTTTCAATATAATACTGGAAGTCCTAGCCAGAGCAATAAGACAAGAGAAAGACATACAAGGAATTCAAACAGGAAAAGAAGAAGTTAAACTATCACTATTTGCAGATGATATGACATGACCCAAAAACTCCACAGAAAAACTAATTCAACTAATCAATCAGTTTAGTAAAGTAACAGAATACAAAATCAACATGCAAAAATCAGTAGCCTTCCTATACACAAATGATAAATCTGAAGAAGAAATAAAAAAAAAACCATCCCTTTTATTATTGAAACCAAAAAAATCAAATACTTGGGAATAAACCTAACAAAAGAGGTGAAGAATCTATACAAAGAAAACTATAAAACACTATTAAAAGAAATAGAAGAAGACACAAAGAAATGGACAGACATCCCCTGCTCATGGATTGGAAGAATTAACATCATCAAAATGGCCATCCTACCAAAAGCAATATACAGATTCAATGCTATTCCAATAAAAATTTCAATGACATTCTTCAAAGAAATAGAACAATTATTGATGAAATTCATATGGAATCACCAAAAACCCCAATTACCCAAACCTCTTCTGAAAAAAAAAGAAGAGAATGGAGGCATCACACTCCCAGACTTCAAACAATACTACAAAGCCATAATCATCAAAACTGCATGGCATTGGAACAAGAACAGACACACAGACCAATGGAATCAAATAGAAAATCCAGAAATAAACCCACAGATTTATGGTCAACTAATATTTGATAAAGGAGCAAAGAACATGCACTGAAGCAAAGAAAGTTTGTTCAATAAATGGTGCTGGGAAAACTGGGTCACTACATGCAAAAGAATGAAGCTTGACCACTACCTCACACCATGCGCAAAAACCAACTCAAAATGGATTAAAAAACTAGACATAAGACCTGAAACCCTAAAATACATAGAAGAAAATATAGGTGAAACACTACATGACATGCACCTCAAAGACATCTTTACAGACACATCACCCAAAGCAGTGATAGTGAAGGCAAAGATCAACAGCTGGGACTACATCAAATTAAAGAGTTTCTGCACAGCAAAAGAGACAATAACCAAAACAAAGACAAACCCTACTGACTGGGAGAACATTTTTGCACACAACACTAATGATAAAGGGCTGATCACAAAAATCTGCAAAGAGCTGATGAGACTCAACAAAAACAAAGAAAATAATCCAGTCAAAAAATGGGCAGAAGAGCTAAAAGGAAACTTCTCTGAAGAAGAAATGAAAATAGCCAACAGGCATATGAAAAAATGTTCAACATCACTTGCAATCAGGGAAATGCAAATCAAAACTACAATGAGATACCATCTCATACCAGTGAGAATGGCACATATTAAAAAAACTAGCAACAACAAATGTTGGCGAGGTTGTGGAGAAAAAGGAACTCTCCTGCACTTCTGGTGGGAGTGCAAACTGGTCCAACCACTATGGAGAGCTGTGTGGAGATTCCTCAGTCTGCTAAAGATGGAGCTTCCATATGGTCCAGCAATTCTGCTCCTAGGTATTTACCCAGAGGACACAGAATCATTAATTCAAAAAGGCATCTGCACCCCTATGTTTATAGCAGCACTATTTACAACAACTAAGCTATGGAAACAACCCAAATGCCCCAAAACAGATGACTGGATCAAGAAGATGTGGTACATATACACCATGGAATATTACTCAGCAATCAAAAAAGATAAACACATGCAATTTGCAGCAACATGGATGGAGCTAGAAGGGATCATGCTCAGCGAAATAAGTCAGAAAGAAAAAGAAAAATACTGATGGTCTCACTCATAGCAGGAATTTAGAAAACCTAAATAAGAGACCAGGAAAAAGACCAATCAATACAAAGTAAAAATCAAAATCAACAAGCAACTATAAACCACAGACACACTACAAGGGGGGGAGAGGCGGAGAAAGGAAGGACTAGAGTCAAAATAAGGGGGGAGGTGCAATTGTATGGGGAATATAACCAAAATGAAAATGCATACATTGTGCAAAGATGAAAAAAGATGTAAGAATTATATAAAATAAAATATTTAAAGAAAAAAAAAGATAAAAAAAAAAGAATTAGGTTACGGGAAGCCCTGTCTCCCAGGGGGGGATTGCATGCTGGGGTGATTCATACTTTGAACCAGTTCCTGCTGAATAATACAAGACCAAGTACCTGTGGCTAGTGTCCCCCTGGGTTCAGACTTGCTTCCCCCAATTCCCTTGGATACAGTGAAATAATCTTTGCACTTTGAAACAATTCACTCAGGGAAAAGGAAAAGTTAAAAGGCAGCCACAAATTCTGAAGTTAGACTGATCTCCCCTCATGGCAGGACAATAAAAATAAGGCTGCTATCCACTCGGATGGCAGCAAATTACGGGCTACCCCTGGGGACCAAGTTTTATCATGTGATCACAGGCAAAGTTAGGGTCTCTCACCAGAAAGTATCTAATAACTATGTTCTGGTTATGTTTTATGGGCAAGGCTCTAAGCTTGAAAAATATAAAAAGAGAACAATAAAACGCTGCCCCTAAAGAATTCATCATGTAACAGCAGAGTAAAGTATGTTTTGAGGGAAATGCATTCAGCCCTCCTGTTATTAGTTAACCATCATTTGTATAATGGCTTAAAATGCTTTTACATGGACTTTTGGGAACAATTCCAAGCCTCACAGAGCCCCGGGCCATGAGCACTGTTCTTGTTGCCCCGGGATTTCCCAAGAACCAGACAGAAGTCCTCAGAAGCTCCAGGGGAAAAGGTGACCTACTAGAGGTGACACAGGCAGCAAGCAGCACAGTCAGAACTTGCGCCCCATGCCTTTTCCTGCTACAAACAGATCTGCTGTCCGCATTTGCTCTGAACACTTCTCCGGTGAATCCTCTCACCCTCACCCCTGCACCTGTGGCCTACACCCCAGCTCTTGTATGCATAAATAAGAGGGAGGGAGGGAGGGAGGGAGGGAAATGTGGATCTCTTACTCCAACTAACCAATTCAACCAAAAGAACAGTAATTTACTGTGCCTGTCACTCACTCTTTCTGGGACATTCTGGGTTTAGAGAAAATGAAACATGCGTGATATTCTGACAAAGCAGTGTTAGAAGCGTCTCCCCAGGACCTGAAATCAGAAAGAACCGACCAGAGGCCTCTCCCCTCCCAGTGCAGTCAGTGGCACATCCCCACTTGGGGCTGGGACTCTGGGGAATCCCTCTGACCCTTTCTCTAGATTTTTATCCTTTACGAAAGCTGTTATTCACCATTGGGAGAAGAAACGTTTACTCAATGTGTTCAAAATGAATGTTGTCTTAAAACTGTTTTTATTATCCTAAGTGGACACCAACTATGAAATTGATTTGAACAAGCTTTTAATTACTGGTTTTAGTTGTCTGGAATTCACGGCAGATTCCACCAATCCTTTGTCACAGCTGAGTTATAGTCAGGCTCCTGTTATGACTAATTTCTCAGCTGAGATTATCAAGATATGTCAAAAGTTATACTTAGGAGATCTAAGATAATTGCTAGTTATTACATGCCATCCATGGTGAAATTTTAAAAGCTATTGCTAACACATCACTGTCACCCTTCTAGAAATTTTACAAAGATTAATTAAAGAGCTGATAATAAAACACTAACATTTACAGTAGAACTGTCACAGACATAAAGAGATATATATTATTCAGCTATATTTCCTGGTTTGAAAAATGGTCCTTCACAGTTAAATATCAAGATATCCTTCCAACAGATAAACTCCAGTCCAGAGAACAAAAACCAAAACTGTTCTTGCAGTGTAAATTCTTTGATATGTAAAGAAAAAAAAAATGGGGAAATTTTTGAAGGAATTTTTAATGGACATATTTTTGAAAGTTTCACATTTTTCACAGTTTTATTCACATTGAATAAAATGCTAACACTACCTATTTTAAGATACAAAAATAATCTCCTCCTTAGTTGACATAATAAAAGTATATAGAGATTCTTACCTCTGAACTTCTTGGGAGGGTTGGCAAGGTCTCCAGCCTCTGGATGGACCACACATCTGTCATCCACTAACCTAGAAAGAAAAACAAGTTCAGATTGTCATTATCATCAGATGCATAAAGCAGGCAGACACTACATCAATAATGATGTATCATTCTTCACTAAGGAAGCTTTTTTTCTGGATCTTTGCACATGCGTTCTTTTCTCTTTTTTTCTTCTCTCTTTTTTTAATTGAAGTAACATTGGTTTACACACTGTATATGACTCAGAGACATAGGATCGCCCCCTTCAGCTGTGTGTCACCACCAAAGCACCCACAGTCCTTCACCAGAGTTCAAGGGGGCCCAGCCCCACTCTGCTCTTCTTCTTCATCCCCGTCTGGTACCCTCAATTCTCAGTCATATTTCTAGTTCATTACTGGTTTGGTTTCAGTCTGAGCCTTTCTTGTCCCACGTGACACCATCCAGTATTTGCCTTTCTCCTTCTCACTTATTTCTGCCAGCATCATCCCCTCCAGTTCCATCCATGTTGTCGAAAATGGCAAGACTTCATCTATTTTTAAAAGTGAAGTCGAATTCTACTGTTTTCTTCGAGACATACTACAGCTTCCTATCATTTGTTAGTCAGATAAAATGACTTATCTGTATGGTAGCTTCAGAGCTTCTGACATAAAGTCGATCCTTAAGTAAATGCTTAGTAAATAAAAGCAGGCACCTCACCTGCCTTACACCTCATCATACTGTCTCTTCTGGGAAACTATTTTACATATAATAAGAATTTAACAAACATTCATCAAATGAATATGTTCCTCTGTAGTCACAAAATGCATGTTTGATCCCTATTAAGATATCAGCTCTCTGACCTAAGAGTCAGCAGCCCCAACTCTTCTGTTTGGAGAGGAAGCCATGACTACCAAAGACTCACTAATGTTCATGTTCTCCACTGATCAAGTTGTGGGGAGAAGTTGGGCTCTCCCCAGAATGGGTGAGAATGTGTGTGAATCATTCAAAGCTATGAATTCACTAAAGAGAGATGACCAAATTGCAACTTTCTGTTTTTCTAAACAGCTAATTAACCAGATCCGCTGGTATGCATCCAGACCAGCACAGGGTAACCCCCATTTGTGATCAAATGTCCCTTTGAATGAGGATGAATAGCCAAATGAAACTTTTGGTTCCTGGTTTATCTGGTTAGCAGGAACAGACAGATTTTTCTATGGGATCCAAATTCCACAAAACAAAATGTTAATGCGGTCAAGCAATATGGTTCTTTCTTTGATTTTTTTAATATACTTCATTCACACTGAATGGTTTGCTGAAGTGTGGTTTCACAACAGCTGCCAAGCATGCAAGAAATTCCTTTTAAGTGTCTTTAAAACTGTTTTCTTAGAGACAGGAAGTTACATTGGGTCAAGAGGAAGCAAATCCAAACCTCCATAATATCCAGCTTCAGCTAGAAACATCGAATGGGAAAGCCTCAGAAAGTCCTGAGAATGTCATGCTGTCACGTGCAATAGATTTTTTTAAATGCTGTGAGGTAAAGGTCAGTTTTTCTAATTAGTTAAGAATGCCAAACATAATGATCAACAAAATCATAGTCTTATTTAGAGTGCATAAAAATTATAAAGTGAATGGCACTGACTTTCTGCTCATCCTTTCTGTGGGCCATTCCACAGAAACACAGCCCCCTCTCCCACTAGGGTGCTCCTAAAATTTCCCACCTGCAGGGAGAAGCTGGCAAGCAGAAAGGAAAAAACTAAAAGCTATAAATCAGATCACTGGGTACATAGGCAACCATTTATGCTTACCTTCAATTATCAACAGCCAGATAAAAACATAGTAATTAAGAGTGACTTCAGTTCTAAGATTGTGTCCTATTATTTACAAACATCTGTGAAACTTACAATCATTTCATCGTGTGTGATTTAAAGAACTGGAACTACAGAGAATTTCTATCCAATTATCCCACCTCAGGGTATTTATCCAAAAAATACAAACCCACTAATTTGAAGGACTATATAGAGCCCCAGCACCATGTTTGTTGCAACATTATTTACAAGAGCCCAAGAGCTACAAACAACCTAAGTGCCCATGAGCAGACAAATGAACAAAGAAGATGTGATTTAGGTACATACTATACTATTCAGAAAGTAAATAAAAAGTGAAATCCTGCCATTTGCAATGACATGGATGGACCTATTAAGTGAAATAAGTCAGACGGAGAAAAACAAACACTCTGATTTTATTCTTATGTGGTAAAAAGAAAAACCAAATAAACAGATAAACTAAATAAAGCAAAAATATATTTTTGGAATGTAAAGTTTTATAAAAATAAATAAATGGGACTGAGTTTAGAGAGAATAGAAAAAGGACAGGATTGGCAAAGTGGAAATAAGCCAGGGTATGAATCTGTTATAAAGATATACACAACCATGGATTTTAAAAGTTAAATAGGATTTAATTGGTTGACAATTCTACAAGACCCCCCAGAAGCTTCCACTTTAACACCCCTGGGGTGGAACAGAGCTACTTACCACCTTTCTGGTATCACTAATGCTAGAGGTATGTATCATAGGGAGGTTGAATAGCACCCTGTCTATTCATCACCACAGTCAACACACTTTCTTATAACTGCAGGCAGAACTGACTGGATCTTCCAATAAATTCTAACTCCATGAGGTCAAAAACTGAATCCACCTTGTTCACCATTATATCCTTGGAATCTACTCAAATGAACTATGGTAGACATTAAATAAGTGCTTAAGTTTTCTTTCGCTGGGATAAACGAGATTATTTCTCTCTAGTTCTTCCTCATATGGATATTTATCAAGGAGTTCAACATTTCAACCTCTCTCAATCACCCCACATATCAGCATCCCCTTTAAATGTGATCCTGGAGATAATCCACTTGCATTCAGATGTGCTCCCAACAAGTTCAGGGAACCAGGGGCTCTTCCCACCTTCTTTCTGACTCAAAGTTTAGGGTTAGTGGTCCTGAGATGACACTCAAGCCCAACTCTGCCTTCCCTGAAGCCCACTCTGCCTTCCGCTGGGTTTAAGCCTACATAATTCCAGGTCCTTTTCTTGTATACTATTGATTACTACTGATTAGCCAGGTTTTCACATCTACCTCTGGGGCAGTTAACTTTTATAACCTAAGAACAAGAGTTTACAACTGAAAAGGAACAAATATAAGGACCAACCTTTAGCCTAGGAGCAGAAATCACCTAAAGATCATGTATTCCACTCCTAGTTAACTCATGTCAGGGTATTACCATTTTAATCAGTTTCCCAAATTTGTTTAATGCCTTAACTCACATAGGAAGGTAATAATAACCATCACCACCACCACAGAAAAGCTCCTTGGTCCAGAGCTACTGATTCATAATTTCTGGGAGTCAGTCCTAACTAGGAATCTGTATTTTTTTTACACCACTTCTATTCTCCCCAAACCTTCGTAACATTTGATTACAATCATATGGTTATGGGGAACCATTGGAAAGATGTGACTCTGCAATCCAGACTCCCTCTATCAGTGACCAAGGCAATGTCTACTAGAAATATGTATTTTTAATAGCCCCCATTCTACCACTGTAGGCTGGTCTATGCTCTATCAAAAGAACTTATCACCCTCCATCAGAATTTCTTAGTTATACATACATAAATCGTAAATCCCAAAAAGGGCCAGCCCATTTCTGTTTTATCATAAAATGCCTGACTTTAACTATTAGGCCTCAGTAGGGGCCTCCCTGGTGGCACAAGGGGTTGAGCACAGCACTGTGAAGCTGTCTGAAGCCTCTGCAGCACAAGTTCGATCCCCAGACGGCCAGGGAGATACCCACATGGCTCAGCAGATCTCTCCTGTCTAGATGGCTGCTCCCCTCAGCCATGTATTTCAGTCAGTCTGCCTGTTCTGTTCCCCACTCTGTATCTGTTGAATCCTCTCACCCCCGACACCTTTGGCCTGTACCCCAGTTCTTGTATGCATGAATAAATAAATCTTTGGGGGAAAAAAAAAGAATGGCAAGAAGTGGAAGAAAAACCCAGAAGCACTGCCTGTCCAGGTGTGCCTCAGATAATTATCAGAACTGTCAAACCAGAAACAACAACATTTCAAATAACCCCTTTCACATCAATATATCAGTGTACCTTTTAATGGACTACAATTATTTTTTTAATGTCTGAATCAGTAAGTCAAACAGGCAATTAAAGGGACAGGCTAACATTCTCAATCTGTCATTAAAACTCAACTAACATTCAGTCTGTTCTCATTACATTCAACCTATTCTCATTCATTTCTATCTTCAACTCTATAAAGTCACAGCTGTACAACGGCTGCTTGCCTAACAGATATACCTGCTCCTTGTACCATTAAGTGATTCTGTTCATTTCAAACAAAATGACACTGAAGAATACTGAAAGTGAATTCAGGGAAAGTGGGGAGGTGGGGAATCCACAATGAACATAATTTGAGTAAGAAAGGGGTTAAGATGGTGGTTAGGTTCATGAGCAAGATGGAATTGCCTTTGAAGTACTTTAAGAACTCTATCGCCTATAACCTGCCTACTGTGGGGTTTTCACTCTACTAGCACCTGAATTTCTCCCTTAGCTGCAATTTAGTTTCCTATCTGATCTGTCCCTCCCGCCACAACCCCCACCACCCACTGTAACCCCAGCCCCCATAACCTGGCACAGCATTCAACTCCCTCTTTCGCTGTCATTTAGAAGTAGCACTGGAACAGAGGGGAAAACCCTTGAGTACCAGTCCTTGTTCTACCATCACATCACCAGCTGTGTAGATGCCAGTCTCTTCCCCTTCCTATATCTCGATTTTTAAACAACGCGCCCATGATCTCACCAGTTCCCTCTACCTCCATGGCTTTTCATTAACCTGATTCTATTTTGTAATTAGAATTGGCTTGCAGTATCCTTCTTCCACAGAGATTCTGACACTTATTTTATATATCATATTTTCAAACTTTACTGGTATTTATTTTTAAGATTTATTAATTTATGCATACAAGAACTGTTATACAGGCCAGAGGTGATGTGAGTGAGAGGATTCACCAGAGAC